CAAACCGAATTATTGCATCACGCACTTTATGTGCATTAATTACTTCTATTTGAGACATCATGTTCGTTACGTCGCGAAAAACTACAACGTTAATTAAATAAAACGGCCTTCATGAACGGTCTGCCATGGACAGTTATTAACCCTTCAGAGACGACACAACTTCCGTATTTCTTCCTGTGGTCGACGGTATGTGGCGTCCCATTCGTTGCTATAATTTATTAAAGAATTAAATTTTGAGATAATTACTTTTAACTAGAAGGAACTCAGTCAACAAACGCCTCGCTGGCTTGAATCAGATTGCGCTCAATTACCTGATCAACCCTTATATCTTCGTCCAACCGTAAGTCATTAAGTATGGAGTTGCTTTCATTATTACGGGACATACAATTTCTGTTAACAAAACTATTTTTTCTAAGTCTGCGAGATATTAAAAAAAATGTAGTTTTTCAACCCTTTGAGAGCTGTTTTCACCTCTAGATATGCATGTTAGCAGGTACAAAAGAAATACGTGTCAAATAATTTTCAAAATCCTACCTCTATACCACACATAATAAAAATCGGCGTGTTATACTTGAGTGATGTCCCTTGTCAGTTTTATACCTACATCATTACAATGGAAGCCGACTTGAACCTTCTATTATCGCGACGTAGAATTCTTACCTCACGGTTTTACATGTTTGAGAAATCTCTTAGACCACCAATGAATAAAATAAAGGCACGTGTACGCTCGAGTTACGAGCTCAAAATTATAAAAACATGTATGACATATTTGATGGTATGCAATCAGTAGTAGTAAGCTCCGAATACTGGTTCAAATTCAGAAATATAATACAATCACCATAATGTTCTGTGGAGTTACAGCAAGAGCCAAAATGTTTGCAGAAACTTCATACTCACAGAAGCAAGACAATCAATTAGGAGCTTTAGAGTAGTTTAGAGTTTAGAGGAATCGAAACAGAGTTTAAACATACTTTTTTGAATTGTGATCTAAGCCAATCTGTGTTCAGAGTACAGAAGTTAAATCGAATGAATCAAATACTTCAGTTCATATTGAGTCAGTAGGGTTCAGTAGCACAGTGGTTGTGGTAGATCAAGAAGAAGGACAGCAATCAAATCAACTTTCACGCAAATTAATGAAAGAAATTCGACTGATATCGTCAAATATCAGGCACCGGTTTCATTGCATGATATAGTTGATAGGAATAGCAATGAGCCTAATGTTATAGTAGACTCGAGTTATTCTAATAAAGATGCATCTAAAGACAATGGAATAATAATAACAAAGAATATAGAAACGTGCATAATTGATAATAATTTCGAAATGCTCACCCGTAAATCTTCAGTTGACAAAGAAACATCAGGAGTTGAACAGAAAGAATCTGCGTCAACCGTGAATCAGAAATCTTATTGTTAGATAATTCAAAGAACTCATTACACAATGAGCCCACCCAAACAGACACATATTCGAAGCAACCAGGGCTCGAGCAAAGTCGATCTAATAAAAATAAACCAGAGACAATTAGCTTATTATTTATGCTATCTGGAGAGTTCATGTCATATCATAAAAACTGCTGCAAATGATATTATTTCAAATGTAGTGAAAAGAACCGTCGACCTTTACAATCTACATTTAAATGAATGTGACAATGTTAATGTCAATATCATGTGTGAAATTTTTATCATTTAAAATCTTGATGCATGTTCAAACTATCCATTGAATAAAATTCATCCATAGAATAATATAGGAAGACGAATGTCCAGTATAGGATCATTCCACGCGAAATCGAACACTTTTTGGAGTAAAATCTCGGATTTTGTTGTCACTTGGGAATGTTGTAGTCTTTAGTGATATATATGTATAAACGTATCACGAAGGATTTTAAACATTTTTTTTAAATTGTTGATTCTACAGCTATTTGAAATATAGTGTTAACCTTTTTTCAATAAATCGTAACTGTTGAACTAACGAACTGATCAAAATGAGCTTTATGGATGCTTACAGTGGAGACATAAGAGGACCTAATACAAATTATTTCGAATAAAAAAATATATTTTGTAATCATTTATTTTGCAATTGTTTTAAACGAACTGCAAAGTAAATAATAGCGAGGCAGTATTTAAAATTTTGAAGAAAGAAATGAGGATATAGCCCTATTTGTCGTCTTTACGGATAAATTTACAAAAATATGGAGGTTGTTTGCAGATAATACTAGGGTGATACTTATTAATACACTCCGCAGTATTGATGACGTAATATGTATTTATGAATCACGCCAATAATATTAAGAATAACGTCATCATCGGTTATAGTATCAACCTAGGAAGCTTACACAGATTTTCACGATCTTTTATATTGATTACGAGCACAAATTGCATCCTCGGATATTACAGTTTATCACTAAAGTTAGATTTACTAGAGTAAAGGATTTCAAATGAAAATCATTGTTCGAGCTGACTTAAGCGTAGATTCAATGTATTTAAATAATTTGTACAAGATAAATCGATTAGTGGAATCCTTAATAGAAATAAGACACAATATTGATTGATTGTTAGAGGTTTTTATAATATCACACGGTCTAAACGTATCATTGAATGTCCAAAGAGTGATATTAGGCATCAGTAAGTTTTACTTGATTTCTGAAAACACTAGAAACAATATTCATTATATTGCAATCTGTTATGCATTCATATATCAATATAAATTTTTCACTTTACTTAGCGTAGCAAAAATACTCGAATCTTGAACGAAAGGAACACTTGTTTCATTCAAGTGCGTAGTTTGCATCACCGCTGATCACAAATAACATTCGAGAGTTAGATTCGCAATATTCTCTGGTTTATGATATTACCAAAAAATACGACATAATGAATGATCTTATGTTTATGCGATTAAGGGACTTCCATATGAAATCGATTTTTTGTAAACAAGGAATGCAAGATAGAAACATCTCGCGATTTATGAATATGAATATATACGCTCCGATTTGATATTAAAATGTAGAGGGTAAAAAAAAAGAAATCTCGGAAGTCAACTAGTAGTATCTAATAGTATTATGTCACCGACCTCTTGAACCGTTTCTGTAAAAATATAAAATACATGCAGGGTGTTTCAGTTAACTTGATCACCTTGAATAATGATTTAACGGTACATTTTATGAAAATTTTGAAGCGTGGAACTGAAATGGCATCAAAGGGCACATATCTTATAAGGTACGTCCTTTTGTATGGGTGGAGGCATTTCAGCGATTTCAAGATTCAAGGGTTGACCTTCATACATTCTAAACCTGTAGTTAACGAGATATTTACAAAATAATTTTTAATACGTACTTACTATCTGGAAGCTATAGGTGCTCTAATTGATGCCCCTCAATTTCAATACAGTGATTATTTTGTAAATATTTCGTTAACTTTTATTCATCAATATAATAATCAATATAACGGTTTAGGACGTATGAAGGTCAACACATTTTTACTCAGAATTTGATACTCTATCGATCTGTGGTACGAAAAATTGGTCATTCCGTTGAAAAAATGAAGGTGACCTTGAAATCCCTGAAATGCCTCCACCCATACAAGAAGAGGTACCTTATAAGATGTGCCCCTCGATGCCATTTAAGTTCCACGCCTCACAATTTTCGTAAAGTGTACCGTTAAATCCTTATTCGAGGTGATCAAGTTAGCTGAGTAAACCTGTATAATATAAGACACACATCAGATCACGAGTAAGACAATTAACGAGATTGGATCAAGTATACATTCGACAAGGCACACTCGCCTTAAATTAAATACCTTCTTATTATTATACAGTTTGTGAACAGTTGGAATAACTATTACTTTGAAATGAATTCGATGAGGATTGGCATCATTCGCGGAAAAGTTCAGTTAAGTGCGAACCCAGGTTCTTAAACGACAACGTAAGATAAATTTCTTTTGTCGATTAATTTTAAATGCTTCAAAAAAGCATGTATTAACTTATCATGTTTCAAAATACAGAAATATTTCGATGAGTGCGACGTACTCGAATCCGCTTCGGAGCATTCATGGCAAGTAGGAAAGATTTTCAGCCCCTTATAAATTTGATTTTACCCGAAGCCGAGCCTCTGCTTAGCTTCTGTGCCACATTCATCGAGACATCACTGTAATATGTATTATATGTTTCTGTTTTTGTTTCATTTTTCATAATGATTATGCGAATGGTATGCTTATATAATAATGTATACAGCAATCTGCAACCGTAACATCTAGTAATTTCAATTACATTCATATACATCCATACGATAATATAGAATCGAAAAAGTAACGGTTCTGGAACCAATATAAGAGCCGATGTAGAAGAGGTCCGTAACTCAAATAGATATGTTGATTGTAGTTAGAAATTTCGGTTCCTTTAACTGTAATTTAGAATAAAGAATCTTAATAAATGTTTAGTAAAAGCATCTATATAAGAGTTTGAAACAGTCATGTTCGAATCCGTTTAAATTCCTAGTGTAAAATAATAAAGTAATATAATTTAAAATAAGTACTTTTCCTATGAGAATTCGATTTTGCTTTTATACTTGGGCAGTTACATCTTTACCGCAATGAATAATACAGTCGATTAACTGAAGAATATATCGGAATTCTTATAAGCCTACATTAGCATATTGCATAATGGTGATGGGGTTAAGGGCAGAAATAATTTATTTTCTTTTGAAACACGGTTCCAGGTTCCCCTTTATCCAATTGTTCTAGAGTTAAGAAGCAATCCACCGTAAATACTTTCATCATAACATTTTCATTCAATGAACCTTTGCGTGTTCTTACTGATCTACGGCTCTTTGCTGTCGGCGAACTGCAAAGTATTCAACTTGTGCCATGCTTTTTACCTACATAGGTCTGCGTTAGGATTGAGAACTGTGTCAGACCTGGTTAGGTAACTTCATTAATTATTAATGCAATTAGTTCTCATCCAACTCTCTTGCGCATGGAACTGAAAAAATTACTAGATCTTTTTCCCATACCTGAAGATAGAAGAGCCGTAATGTAATATCTTGGATCAATTCCTCCGCAACATCTTCGGGATAGAATTTGGCGCGGAATTTGAACTGCAATGGAGTCTCCTTCTTGACTTCTTGGTTCATGACCTGAAAACATTTTACCACAATTAACACTCGTCCGAAAAATCAATTACAAATTTAATAACAAAGTCACTCCGTCGTTTCAAAACGTGCACAGTGTTCTCATCGATCTGTACGATGGGATAGCCGTCACTTGCATGCAAAACAGTCGGGCATAACTCTTATGATATAATTCGACTGACGTATGACCAGATACGATCAGAAATTTTTATCATATTATCAGGGAATATCGTGTCACGGCGATAACGATCGTCTCAAATGGATTTTTTATTAAAAACGGATTAAGCGTGCTTATGGTGACCTAGGATTGAAAATAAATGTTTCTTTGTTTGACCAATGGAAGTTATAAGATAAACGAGTGAAAATGTTTCATTAATGGAAAATGACACTATGGTGGCGTTTCAATGGAGTTACGATAATTATCACACTGATGTATCTTATCTTGACATGGAAAGGATAAAAGGCGGTACAATGGTAACGCTCTTACGTTCTCGGGTATGCTTCCTAGTATCAGAATTTGTTGGAAAAGAAGTATTTATCTGACAAAATTGTCTTGTAAATTTTAATCGTTATTTCTAGCTGGGGAGTTAAATTATGGGAACAGTTTGTTCAAATTATTTCAACTATCTACTACTTTCACTTAATAAAATAATTTACCAATAATACAAATTAGAAGTTTTTGAATTGCCTAATATTTGACTATTTATTTGTAATTTAAGTGTAAAACAATCATTTTTGTAATCAAACTTAAACAGATTGATCTGACAAAAAGTATTAAAAGATTTTCTCAGGTACTCGATGTTAATGGACAGTACTTTGTATGTCCTAAATATATTATCGAGTTCGTATTATTTTTATCCAAGGAAACAGAAACATTTTCGAAATTAGACACGAACAATTAATGGCGGTTAAAAATATTCTAATGTAAGGAAGACAAAACCCATAAAGTTATGTACTTTTCTTTGGTATCCATGAAACCTTATTAACTGATTTACACATTACTTAGTTCACTATAGTTTGACTTTCAAAAGTGCAAAGCTGACGTCTAAGCAACGAGTAGCCTAAACCACGAAATACTCAGTCAATAAGAGTGCAAGATCAATACTACACTTTATCAAACTTTTACTTCAACCGCGTTTACTTTCACAGTTTACCAAAAGTATATGTTGCTTTATTTCAATTTGAAAATTCGTTGGAATACCAAATAAATTATTTTTGCGTTCTAGATAAATATTTTGAGAATGCCGATACTCGATATCGCCCTATATATTTATCAGAAATTTAATTGTTGCATTTGTCGCGTTTCTATGACAGAAAATTTTGCCCACAGTGTAATGAGTTGTGTCTCAATGTGCCCCATCTGCGAGTCATCCTTCCGTAACTAATAAAGGGGTTCATGGATGAAATAATCCCCACATGTGGTCATTCTACCATTAATTTATAAACAATGAAGGAAAGAGGGCTCGTCAGTAGTGTCTGAATGAATGAAGAATGTTTGGCCGAAGTGATCCATAAGTACCTACCAAATTTGATAGTCCACTTATAGTTACTTTAAATTGTGCTTAAAAAACATTATGGATCCATCATGGGCCACCACATAATAATTTATAAAAATAAATAGTCGATGAAACGCTTTTTATATATTAGAAAGAACGTGTGATCATTTTGTCACAATTGATAAAACAAACAGAAAAGGCAGTCATGACCCAATGGATCATCGCATTGTTCTATCATTGTCTGTTACAGGGAAGTACTTGTAGAAACTTCAGCCGCACAGTGGGTCGAAATGCGACAAAATGCGTTTTTGAACGCTGAATGTATTGATTTCAAAGTGTCCTTTTGAAACTATTACGCTCAATATATGTACATATACAAGGGTGTCCCATCAACACTGTCCACCTCAAATATCTCCCTTATTTCAAGTAATACGCGACAACATTACTTACAAAGGTTGTATTGTACAAGCAAATCTTCCCTGTTTCTTTAAACACGAATCTTAATTTTTGTTATTTTTAGTTGTCATTGTAACAATGCTCTGTTTTTGAAACCTTAATAGAAGAATTTATACTAAATACTTGTTACGAATCAATAATTATATGATTGTTCTTCCATAAATATTTAATTCACCACAATTTTAGCTATATTTAGAATTGCTTAAAAATGTTGAAAAATGCGTTCCGAATTATATTACATTAATGCACAGACCCTCTAGAATAATACTCCACAAAACTTTTGCCCTTCTACAGTCCACTTTACGAGAAAATGAATTTTTTATTTAACGACACTGTTCGGTGCCAAATTTTCACAATTTCCTTAAAAATAGACAATCAAGATTCGTTGCTCGCATAAGTCAACAGAATATATCTATATACAGAGTGGGTGCTCCGTTCTCGCCCCTCGAAACTTACTACAATTTTAATACTCTACATACATAAAAAAAATTTGCGTTAAAAATACCATAACACGTGATTACTCTTTTCAGTTGACATTATAATCCCCTACAGATTTCAGACAGAGACCGTAGTCTATTTTCTGACTCTTTAGTCCGTTTCATTTTTCTAGATTCAACCCATCGCCGACCTTTCTCTAATCTGTGACACCGTTTTGAATACGATCGAAGTTGCAAGCAAAATCGGGCGAACGTTCGAGATTGGATATACAGTTATTCAAAGATTGGGTTTGGATACATTCTCGGGTCGTATAAATTAACATAAATCAAGGTGACGCGGCAATCTCAATTAGTCTTGTGGTTCATATGAAATTTGATATGGAAGTGGCTGAATAGTATGCATATATTCTCGAGTTAATTCTGCCCATCGTCAGCGATTCAAGAGTCGTGGTGAACACGCGGTTCAGACGAACGCGGAACCACATCCGCCAGCACGGAAGTGTCAATCCGATCTCTGGACACGGTCACCTTGACCGCGGCTGACATGTCGGTTCAATGCCAGTAACACGCTTTTTCATAACATTATTGATACCTGTGCACGGTTACATAATTCCACGGACATAACAAGCCAACGATTAAAAAAAAAAAGAAAAAAAATAAGAAGAACCGAAATGGGGAGTGGTGGAAGCTGCAAATATAACAAGCGTGCGAATTTTATAGGACACGTTGACTGACAGCATTACTGTTAAATCGTCAAGTCTGACCCGTGTCGGATTAATAATAGGTGAATATTGAAATTGGTTAAGGTTCTCACTGGATGCACTGTACACTACTGCGAAAGTTTATGATAGTTGGTGAAGGTGAACACCTACACGAGATTAAATGTACAGTACTGGACAAATGTTTTCGGACAAAAACCGTTTCCTGTATTATTTGAATTAAGAGTACTACTTATGTTACATTAAATTATCAACGTCTGTCTTGCGTAATTGTTGTTTTCTTAGGTCGACCACACTCGATATATTTTCTAAATGTCCTCCTCGAACAAATGATTTATTTTGTCGAATATACCGTCTATTTGAGGATGTCCTCCACATGTCGAGAAATTATGGATGATGGCGCTCCGTTTGAGTCTATGATATTTTGTTTTAAAATGTTTTGTAAACTTTTACCTCTTACCACCCAAGAATGGATAAAATAAAGATTTAATATAATGTTCTCGTGAACTTCTTGTTCCAAATTACAATTTATGGTTGTGAATGAAACGTCCGAATACTTTTGTCTAGCTATATACAGATAAAACTTATTTTATATTTTGTGATACGTAGGTAGCTCTATGTAACTTTTATAAAAACTTGCGTCAAAATAATAGTAAACACTCCGGGGGGTAGAACTTCAGTAATATCGCCATAATAACAAATACAACAAAGAATGTTTTTGTCTGAATTCATTTGTCCGATACTGTAAATATATGTCTCTTTACTATTAAGAAGAATTAATGACATTCTCTTTTGGTAACTCCCATTACGTGTGTTACGTTAACCCTGAAATACATTCTGTTGTCTAGTTACCCGACCCTCAAGTGCAGGGTGATTTAAAATAACGGATCGTACAATACAGATGTATTTTATAATCTATACAATAAAACCACTCATATACAACTACAACACAAAAGTTTGGGATCTTCGTATTCGTAACCTTTATCGGAACGTAATAGAATGTACTTCAATGTTTCATTTTTTCGAACAATAAGGTTCTGTCGTTTTGTAGTTATACAGGATAATATCTTATTACAGTAACACCAATTACACATTAATTACGAATAAAACGGTGTATTATCATTCGTTTAATTGACAGCATGAAAAATATATTCACATAAGTTATACCACCATTATTAGATATTTAAATGAAATAATAATAGAAATATATGTAGAAAGATGTATCTATATAGTTCTGGAATTTCATTTAACTTCAATTATCCTTTCGTTTCGGCAAAGCATACAAATCTGTTTAATAAAACATTAATAGCCTCTTCGTTATAACATCCAACAGACGGAGCAAATAATGTACTGTTGCACCGCATTTTGTTTGTAACCATATAGTATGGTTAGTACTTATTTTATTTGTACTGACACAGTAGAAGACACTAGGGTGTCGTTATTTTTTATGGAAAAATCATTTGACTATTTATGTATTTTTCATTAAAACATACAGCTTCATTATTCTTGCAGTAAGCGATCCCAAATTTTTGAACGATAATGTATATGGATTGTCTTATATTTGGCAAATATTTCATAATGTCAGAATAATACAAATTGATCCGCCATTGGTTGTACTATCGACAGAGAGGTGATTAATCATTACAAAAATTGGTTAAACGTCTAGAGTAACATTTTTTCATACAAACATTTTAGAAAAATCTGACACGTATACATTCATGTTTGAAATGAACAAAAGTAAGTACTGAACAATTGGACTTTTCTACAAAAATTTTATTTTAACGTTTCGACTTATTTTTCTACGAAGAATCACATCTCTGTTGGTTCGATCACAAATAAATAAGAAATCTACTGGAATTTGGTGATAACCCTATTGAACATTTAAAAAAACCTCATAA